GCTCAGGTCATGATCCCAGGATCGAGCCCCGCATCGGGCTCCCTGCTCAGCAGGAAGCCTGCTTCTCCCTCTCCCACTCCCCCTGCTTGTGCCCCCTCTCTTGCTGTCTCTCTCTCTCTGTCAAATAAACAAACAAAAATCTTTAAAAAAAAATAAAAAATAAAAAATCCCTGAATAGTGGACATACAAGGATTCACTATAATAATTAACTGTAATATGTACATTTGAAATTTTTCATAATAGAAATTAGAAAAAACCCTACAAATTTATTCTCTTAATTTCTGTGAATCAAAAATCTAAAATTAAATTGTAGGCCATTTTGCATTCCATCCTGTTGCTTCAGAGTGGAATTCCATTTTCTTGTTTCTCCCAGCTTCTAGAGGATGCTGGCATTTCTTGACTTAGGGCCTTTACTTCAACAGCTGGTTCCCTTGTCATAGCTCCTTTTCCTCACTTAGACCCTGTTGTAATTACTTGTAATTACATGGACCCATCCAGATAATCCAGGATAACCTCTCCCTATCTCAAGATCTTTAATTTAACTACATTTGCAGAGTCTCTTTTGCTGTAGAAGTTAATGTATTCACCGGTTCTGAGGATTAGGACATGGACATCTTAAGGAGGAAATTATTCTGTTTATCACTTTAAGTGAGTGATACCCCATACTCAGGTTTCTTTGGTCATATTCTAGGGGTCCTTCTCTTATAACTATTCCTGTTACTACTTATTTACCAATGCATCCCTCTTAGGTAGGTTGCTCCTCCCCGCTCCTATTATCACCACATTTTACCACTCAAACCTCTCCACTAGTTATACAGAGGTCTCTCAACTCCGATCTTTCCATTGGTCAATTCAATTTTCACATTGCCATCAGAATGCCCTAATGCCCTCACATTTTGGTTCCTTGCTAAGTGGTTTCCAAATGACTATGGAATAACATCTAAAATTCTTAGCATGACATTTATGATCTTCCAAACTCTGGCCTCAATTTTTCTTCTTTTATAGTCTTAGTTTCTACCACCCTCCATAATATGGACAAGGCATATAGATCTAGGTTGTTCTATAAACTTACCTGAACATTAATAGCATTTGTTTATGATGTTTATTTTTGAAAGGTCCTCCCTTCTATCTTATTTAATTCAAACAAAATATCTGTCCTGAAGCTTTCTCTAGTATTTTCATTTCGGAATTTGTTTCTCCTTCCTTTACACTCACATTATTTATAATATTAACCACAATCTACTATAACAAACTATAGTGTGATTTGTTTTAGGATTGAAATTACATATTTCTGTCTGCCTCTCCCATAAGATCAATTATGAGGATAGAGTCAGTTTCACAGGTAGCTTTATATCTCCCATAGTCCCCAACACGCTGTACTTAGTGGATGCTCAATAAAATGTTACATGAATTATGAATTATGATTTAAGAAACAATTCATCAAGAGACAAGCATGTACAAAGTTGCTTAATAGCCATTATGTTGCAAAAAATAGTGCTTAATGTGGCTTAATGCCATGAAGGAAAACTAAATAAATCACCAATACCTCTTCTGTGATTCTTAGGAAAACAATTTTCTACTCCTTTTGCTAAAGAAATGGCCATATATGTAATACTTCATGTCTTGTATAGACCGGATTCTCTCCCCCACGTGTGTGTGTGTGTGTGTGTGCGCGCGTGCGTGTGCACGCGCTAATATAACTTTTATATTTCTCTTCTATTTTTGTATGGCAGTAAATCAACTCTTAATGAAATCTAGTGAGATAGAAGAGCCTTGCACCTATTGATCCACTAATACGGGGCAAATACAACCACATGACATAATGAGCAAATGGGAAGAGGTAAATTACAACTGCGAAGATTCACTATTTAGTGATACAATGACATTTGATGGGTGCTTTTCTCATGCAGAAAGTATGATGATACTTATAATTACATGGAAGATCTTAACTGGACTTAAAAGTAGATCTTGTTATTTGAAAGTTTTCAAGAGTGGTGATGGAATTGAAATGACAAAATTTATTTTCAGTTAATATTCGATGTGATCATAGATAAGAGGGCTAAGATTAAACTCTAATTATAGAAGAGGATAAAAGTTGTTCATCCATTTAGCGTGAGATTTTTTTTTTCCTGGTAGAGAATGCTGACTGTGTTCTTTTGTTACCAATTAGGAACCAGTTGCAGAAAACAGATTCACCTCTAGGTGCTTTACTACAGAAAGGAATTTACTACAAGGCATTAAACAGCTTACAAGAACATTGGGAAGGATGAAGAAATAGACTTAAAATTGAGCTTTCATCAAAGCTCACCCAAATCTACACTGCAGAACTGAGCACCCAGATGCACTGCTGCCGTTTCTATGCTCAGGAAGTCACTTCACGACTACAGAACAGGCTCTACAGCTGCCTGATTTCGAAACATGTCACCGCTGCCATTGCTACAAGTAATACGCCTCGAGGATCAGGGAACAATCGCTCGCTCCTAAACGACACTGTACCTGTTACAATCCAAATCAGAAAAATAAATGACTCATGCTTTGCATTTTTAGTTTCCCAGTTCCTGAGGCAGAGCAAGTAATACCAGAAAGGGGTTGGAATAGATGTTATATCCATGTCCATCATATTCATCATATATGGTGAGTTGGAATATAAGAAATGCTATAATACGTCCACTTAATGTCTTACTTTGCCTTGAAGTGCACAAACTAGACAAAATATGAAACGTCTCTGAATAACAATAACATTTTAAAAACAAAACTCCTGTTATGTTTCTCTGTGTGTAAAATGTCTAAGAGCTTCCATTAAATTAATAAATCCAAGGGAATGGTACCAATGGATTGCACACAGGAGCAAGTAAGTCTCTGCTCATAAAAAATTTTACAGCTACAGCTTGGAAGACAATGACTGGAAACATGACACCCAAAGCCCAGACTAATACTTCTGTATGTAATACTCATAGGAGTAGAATTTATATCAAAAAATAACACACACAAATAAGTGTACAGAGGATAAATGTGGAGCTTGGTATGTTTTACAAAGTGTAATAAGCACCAAGATCCAGAAATTGCCCCCCTCTTGTCTCTTCCCAGTCACCTCTTTTTCAAGTTAACTACCATACCAACTAATAACATCATAAATTAGTTGTCTTTGAACTTTATATAAATAGAATCATGCCCTGTGTACTCTTGTATTTGGCTTCTTGTGCTCAAAATTGTTTGTGATATTTAAGCGTGTTGGTGGGGACCAGAATATTCTATTCATTTTAATTACTGAAGAGCATTTGATTGTATCAATACACTACAGTTTTTCTTGTCTATTCTAATGTTGATGGACTTTAGGGTGGTTTCTAGTTTGGAGCTACTAGAAATAACGCTATGAATATATTTGTATAACGCTTTTGGTAAACATATATACTTGTTTTTAGGGGGTATTATTTATATCTAGGGATAGGAATATATCTAGGAATTCATAAGGTAATGTATCAGTTTTAATAGACTTGACCAAGACTTTCTTTTAATTATTGTAGCTATATAATATTTTCCAAAATGCTTATATCAATTTGCACTCCCACCAGCAATGCATGGGAGTTCTTGATGTTCCATATCCTTGCCAGTGTTTGCCAGAACATTTATTTTAATCATTTTGGTGGGTGTGTACTGGGATATCACTATAGTTTTAATTTGCATTTCCCTAGTGATTAATGAGGTTGTTAACCATTGTGTTTTTGTTCATTTGTATATCCTCTCTTCTAAAGTGCTATTTGAAGTTTTCCTCCATTTCTCTGTTGAGTTTTCAGTGTTGTTTTTTTTCCTTTAATTTGATTTGTAGGAATTCTTTACAAATTCTGGATAGGAATCCTTTGTCAGATATATAGATATGGAGATAGAGATAGATAAATCAAATATCCTCTTCCATACTGTGGCTTGCTTTTCACTCCCTAAATGACATATTTGATGAACATAAGTTCTTATTTTTAATTAGGTCCAATTTTTCTATTTTTTCTTGTTGTGGTTATTAATTTCTGCTACCTTTATGAGAACTTTGTGTTCACCAAGATAATGAAAATATGCTCCTATGATAACTTCTTGAAGTTTCATTATTTTCACAAATAGATCTCCAGTTTAATTGAAATTAATTTTTGGTATGGTGTGCGGGGGGTGTCAAGATTCACATTTTTAAATGTTACACCAGACCTGCATTTCTAGAATAAAACCAATGTGATCGTTACACATTATCCTTTCTATAGATCGCTGCACTCAATTTGCTAATATTTTGCTCTTGTTTAGATTTTTGGATTTATGCACATGAAAAAACTTGGACTATATTTTCCCACTACACTGATTTTAGCATTGCTTCTTTTGCATGTGTTTTTTTTTTTTTTTTCCCCTGTATGGAATCTACCCTCCCTGTTCTTCCTCCAAGAGACATAGAGCCACTCTCTTGTGGTTTTCATAGCACCTGGAGGATCCCTCTGTTAAAGACCTCATCATTTGCACATTAGACTATAAGGGGAAAAAGAATGCCAGTATTTGTAGTTAAGGAGGTGCACTATGAATCTTTCTTAAATTAAATGGGGCTGTGCTTAATTCCTTAGGGGTATAATCAGATAATTTGGAGGTCTTACTTTTCTTTCTTTTTTTTTTTTTTAAAGATTTTATTTATTTATTTGAGACAGAGAGAATGAGAGACAGAGAGCATGAGAGGGAGGAGGGTCAGAGGGAGAAGCAGACTCCCTGCAGAGCAGGGAGCCCGATGCGGGACTCGATCCCAGGACTCCAGGATCATGACCTGAGCTGAAGGCAGTCGCTTAACCAACTGAGCCACCCAGGCGCCCCGGAGGTCTTACTTTTCATTTTTGAATCTTATTGTGCCCCTTCTTAATTTACCTTCCCTCCAACTACTTAATGGTGAAAATAAACTGTTCTTATTAAAATGGACAATTTAATTTTCCTCCAGCAAAAAGATTTAGAAAGCCAAAACATGATCTATAGTTTCACCTAACCAGAGATGGCTAGAATGTCCCAGATTTGATCTCAAGAGAGACGTGTAGAAAAAGATAACCCTCCCTGTAATCCAGAAGGCCATACTTCATGTATGACAGAAACCAAAGTCCCTTTGGCTCTCTTTCTGTAGCAGTTCATCACAAGTGCATTTATCATTCTAAATCTCTTATAAAGTTATCTTGACAAACAATACAAAATGTTTGCATTGCAATAAAACTGAAGAAAGTAATTTTAACTTTTAGGTTTAATAAATGCCAGCCATGTGGAAATTCTCCAAACAGTGCTTTAACCTGCCTGTAAAAATGTTATAACTGTAAAATGCTTACAGATGCTAGATATTGTTTTCCTTTTAACCTCAAAAATCACTTTTATAAGGATAAGGATTTTGGCTATCACACCATTCAAAAGCAGTTATGTCATTTTTTCCCCCTGTGGATTCTCACATTTCTCTGACTTAGCTTCATGATAAATTTATAAGAAATATATGAAATAATGGATGCTATCTCCAAAAACTGGGTCTTCATAACCCAGCTCTTTGGATTTCACCATCTACTTTCTTTCTCTTCGTTTTTCTAGATTTGTTTTAATTATTTAATATTTAGCTGTAGAACTTAGACTGATTCCATCTTCTCTATTATTTAAATGTGATAATGACAGATAATATTTTTAAAATACAATTGTTCTTTTACATTAGCAATTTATAAATTACTTTATTTGCATCTTATCATTGGACATATATTTGGCTTTCTTTGTACCTTGTTAGTTTGTCCCCTAACCTTCTTATTAAGATAACAGGATTCCAAGGTCTCTTCCAAATAAAAAATTCTACACTGATGAACATGATATATTATTTATTTAGGAAGTTTTATCTAGAATTGTTTTATATTACAAATATTCTCTTTAAAGTTTGAAAAAAAGATAAAAACTATGAGGACTAGAGAAGTAGCTCACTTAAAATCGATGGCACTTGGAAGGAAGAGCTGAATAAATAAAAGAGAGGTCTTATTTATCCATTTTAATATTTTTCTTTGATTTATCCCAATAAAGAGTAGTAGAATTAACTTATATGGACTTATGCTCTTTCTCATATTGTTCCCATCATAAAGTATCAAAATGTGCAAAGTGAGTAAAGTGAATTGAGCAAAAGGATGGTGGGAGAATGGAAACAGAAAATAAGAGTCAAAAGACCTACATAACGGTCCTTTGAGAGTAAGAGTCGCTACAACTATCTTAGATTTTTCAGTGAAATAAGTGTCCTCCAGATGTCGTGGGAGAGCTAATAAATACCCAGACACTACAATGTTACAGCATTTTTGTAGAGGATAAAAGAAATATTTAGAAGACTTCAGTAGAACATTTTATAGAACCCTGAAGGAGACAATGTACTACACATCCTTTGAATAGGTTCAATAATTTTGTTGACTAAGCAACATATATTTCATTATTACAATAATCTATCTCAAGTGATTGCTCCACCTAATAAAGATACTTACCAATATAAAACAGAAAGCTATGGAAAAACTTAGATTGCAGTGTCCTCAAAGGATTAGACTCTAAAATAAATTTGATCATCCATGTGGAAAAACAAGGCCTGTGTCTATCAGGAAATCAATTAACACAATCATTTGAGTGAATTAAGTAATATTGTTGTTTTTCATTGAAGTTTTTTTTTTTCCCATTTAGCGTGCTTCCATCAGGAGTATTCTCAGTACATATTCACAATATTCAGTACAGGAGGGAGCACTGGAAATTATAAGATATGAATTGAAATGAAATAGAATCATAGACCCAAAGATTGTATTATGCATATGGTAGGTATAAAGTGATTTTAATTGATCTAATGGATCTATGTAATATAAGAACACATATTTTATTAACTTGTAATTAACTAAGTTAAATTAAACCCCTAGAAGCTATTTCTTTGGCTGAATTAAAAATTCTAACTAACACTAATTTTAGCCTTTAAGTTTGTAATATTCAGAATACATACAAAATCAAGACATGATTATATCTGCAGAATTCATACAGTTACCATTTTAGTCATTTCAAGTATGTGAATGATGCTTGCTTATTTTTGGACCTGGAAGGACTATTCCTATATTCAGTTGCTAGGAAGGGAGGCATGAAATGTGTACAATGTTGTCATGTTACCTGGTGAGTTACACAAAAATAAAAGCACGTGTACAATGTAGATTTTAGATATCAAATGAAGGCAAGTCATTTTTCTTTTCCCAAAATTTTATGAAATAAACAATCAAGTGCTAGAGAAGGGGATCCAGTTAGGTCAATTACTATGAGGAAAATAATATTTTTTTAAAAACCCAGTAGAACAAATTAATATAGGAAAATCACACACTGGGCAGTTTGTGAAACATGACATTCTCTGTCACACCTAGTCTGCTCTATGTATGCTGTTCTTTTTGTCTAGTTCCCTTCCCTCTTTCCTGCTAGCACACACTTTTTTATGTCTCAAGACTCGGGTCACATGGCACCACCTTGGTGATGCTTTTCCCCACTGTTGTAGGCACAATTATATTCAGTTCTGCTGTAATGACTATTTTGAAAATGTAAATACCAAAACAGTTGATATGAAGGAACAATGTGAGATTGTTTATGTGCAATTTCCCCCATGAGAAACATGAGGTGAATGCAAAAGACAGTGCCAGCTAAACCTGAACTGAGTAGGAATACATGAAATGCACCCATATGCACACCTCAAACATGCTACCTCAGTTCACCGGGTTAGGAGCCACATCCATCTGCATCTGCTACAACCTGCCCTCGGATTTCAGCTCACTGTCCTTCCTTTACCCCCAGTAACACAACTACAACTCTTCCAATGTCAAAGCAAACTTCAAATTTTAAGGTAAAAATACCCTATGTATTCTGTTACTTATGTATTTCTTTTTTTTTTTTTATTCTTATGTTAATCCCCATACATTACATCATTAGTTCTAGATGAAGTGTTCCATGATTCATTGTTCGAGCACAACACCCAGTGCTCCATGCAGAACGTGCCCTCCTCAATACCCACCACCAGGCCAACCCATCCTCCCACCCCCCTCCCCTCTAGAACCCTCAGTTTGTTTTTCAGAGTCCATCTTCTCTCATGGTTCGTCCACCCCTCCGATTTCCCCCGCTTCATTCCTCCCCTCCCGCTACCTTCTTCTTCTTCTTTTTTTTTCTTAACATACCTTGCATTATTTGTCTCAGAGGTACAGATCTGAGACTCAACAGTCCTGCACAATTCACAGCGCTTAACAGAGCACGTACCCTCCCCAGTGTCTATCACCCAGTCACCCCACTTATGTATTTCTTAACTATTAGTATATTTTAAAAAATGCTACCATTTTTATTAGGTTCTTAGCATTTTAAAAAATATGTCACTATTGACATTTTTGAGTGCTGCACTCCAAACCTTGATTTTCTCACTGGCTCAGTAGTTTTCTATTGCACAATTTTCCACAGTGAGTTGATTTTTGAAAAAGGAAACGTTGTGTCATAGCAGACGCTTCCTCTTCTGTGATTCAGTGGTACTTAGTGTATTAGGTTGCATTTATTTGTATACTTACTTAT